ATGATGTATGGGGGTGTTTTGTGCACACTGGGACAGGTGACAAGACCTTCCAGCATTATTTATAATTGTGGGGCAGTGATCAGGGACACAGGAGCACTAAACTTGGCTGACAGGCTGCTGTACACTCACACACTGCAGGATCGCTTCTCTCTGCTCTTACACTGAAAGCAGAGAGAGGCGACCTTTACTTTCAGTTTCAATGTTTACTATGTGAGTGCTGTGATTGGTCACAGCAGTCACATAGTAAAATACCACGTGATCGCCCGAACATAGTGGAATTTGATCCTCTGTGTCTGGGTGACACACCAATCACCGGGCACAAGGGTGCGCGCTCTGTGCAGGAGCCATTGATGCGAGCTGACATACAGAAATGTTAGCGTGCATCGGCACTGCTTCCCGTCCGCTGTCTATGTAGAATGACCGGAAGGGAAGGGGTTACCACTTGCCTACAGGGCACTTTCAACCCCCTCCTGCCCAGGGAAATTTTCAGCTTTCAGCGCTGTTGCACTTTGAATGACAATTGCGCGGTCATGCAACACTGTGACCATATGAAATTCTTATCATTTTTTTGAGACAGAGCTTTATTTTGGTGGTATTTAATCACCACTGGGGTTTTTATTTTTTTGATAAACCAAAAATAACTGAAAATTCTGAAAGAAAGTTTTTTTCTTAGTTTCTGTTACAAAATGTTGTAAATGAGTAATTTTTCTCCTTCACTGATGTGCACTAATGAGGCTGCAGTGATGGGCACTGATTGGCAGCACTGATGAGGAGGCACTGGTAGGTGGCACTGATGGGCATTGACAGGCATCACTGGTGGGTGTTCAAAGACATCACTGATAGGCACTGAAAGGCAGTACTCATATATGGCACTGATAGGTGGCACTGACTGGAACTGTTAGGTGGCATTGATGGGCACTGATAGGCGGCACTGGCTGGCACTGATTGGCAGCACTGATAGGTGGCACTGATAGGCGGCACTGACAGGCAGCTCAGATGGGCACTGATATGTGGCATTCATGTGCACTGGTAGGCACTGATATGTGGCAATCATGTGCACTGACAGGTGGCACTGATGGGGCTACACTGACCATCAGGGCACTGATCATCAGTGTAGATGTCCCCTCTGAGGAATGCCGATTACCGGCTCTCCTCTCCTCTGTCAGCGTGACAGATCGTGAGGAGATAAATGCCAATAACCTGCATTTCCTTATTTACATGCGATCAGCTGTGATTGGACACAGCTGATCACATGACAGAGCCAAAGTCATCGTCTCTTTCCACTGATCGGTGATCCGCTGTGTCCCAGGGACACAGCGCACCACCGATGGATGCGCACACGGGTTAGAGTGGGAGGATGTCATATGATGTCCTCCCAGAACGAGAGAACCACCTTGTGCCTGTCATTTCCTTATTTGGCCGGCGGGAGGCAGTTAAATGTTGCTAAATCAAGGACCATGCATTTACTATATCTGGTCTCCCATAGTACACAGTACATGGAAATGCAATTATTTTAGTAAATATGAACTGCTAAATACCTTTTCTCATCAGCAGTTGGAGCAGTCCAGTGACTTCTATCAGTATCCAGCAGGGCACTAGTAAAAGCTTGTAGGAGGAGTTTGTTCTAGAAGGATGCAGAACCCCTTACCTCTGTCTGGACAGTGGTGATTGGCCCTGTGCTGATCACAAGCACTCTCCCAAGAAAACAAAAACCTCTCTAGCAATACACACCAAACTGAGCATGTGCAGAATGTCTCCACATGATATGTCTTATCACGAGAACAGAGGGGAACAATGGAAAAAGGGGAGGGTCAGAGAAGTCAGGATCTAAAAGCGTTTTTACACAATGCAGAGGATTAACCCCTTAGGTTCCAAAGTGAGTATATCAAGCATGCTTGCTTACTGCATATACAGACTGATTTTACTGTTGTGGGTTTAGTAACACTTTAACTGCATTGGGTTGTTATTGTTTTGTAGCATGCTGACATCTAGTGGTGGTTTTGGGCCACTAAAACGTTTCTAATGTGACTTTGCTATCTTCCTGTTTGTTATGTGCTGGTTAGTTTAGACGTAGCTAGACCCTCCACACTTCTTCCATGTTCCCTCAGTCAGTGTTAGTTATTCAGAGGGACAGAGCTTAGGAAAGACATTGGGGGAGGTTTACTAAACTTGATGCACTCAGAATCTGGTGCTGCTGTGCATGGCAGCCAATCAGCTTCTAACTTCAGCATGTGCAGTTAAGCTTTGACAATATAACCTGGAGGCTGATTGGTTTCTATGCAGAGCTGCAGGAAACTTTGCAGTCTCTAGTTTTAGCAAATAACCCCTATTATCTTCTTGCACTTCAAAAGACTGGAATTACATCCTTTTTTACTGCAATTAGCTGATGTAAAATTGCACTGGATTCAACTTCTTATTGAAGAGTTAAAGTGGTAGTAAAGTCGTTTTTTTAACTTGTACCAACAGGTAATCCTATAAGGCGTACCTATAGGTACTGTACATGCCTCTTAAATGTGCACCATTTAGGAGATATTTACTGGTAAAAGACTGGCCCATATGCCATACAGGGGCGGACTGACCATTTGGAATTCGGGCACTGCCCGAGGGCCCGGGGTCAGTAGGGGGCCCCATGAGATGCCCCTGCTACCTTTTTCATAGGCTTTTTTTGAGTTTGGGCAAGGACACAGGGGCCCCATGATCCCCTATTGCCCGGGGGCCCCATGAGTTGTCAGTCCTCCCCTGATGCCATACCAGCATCCTCATCACCACCACACATCATACCAGCACGCTGATCACCGCCATACACCATACCAGCACCCTGATCACCGCCATACCCCATATCAGCATCCTGATCACCCCATACCAGTGTCCTGATCACCGCCATACCCCATACCAGCATCCTAATCACCCCATATGCCATACCAGCATCCTCATCACCGCCACACATCATACCAGCACCCTGATGACCACCATACCCCATATGCCATACCAGTGATCTGACCATCGCCATACCCCATATCAGCATCCTGATCACTCTCATACCCCATACCAGCATCCTGATCCCTGCCATATCCCATACCAGCATCCTGATCACCGCCATATACCATACCAGTGTCCTGATCACCACCATACCATCACCCTGATCACCACCATACCCTATTCCAGCGTTCTGATCTCTGCCATACCCCATACTAGCATTTCGATCACTGCTATACCCTATAACAGCATCCTGATCAACCCCATAATAGTGTTCTGATCACTGCCATATCAGCATCTGGCATCTTAGGGTCTCAACTGATTAATTCTCAGATATATAGCCCATAGTTTGTAGACTCTATAGCTTTTACACAGACTAAATAATATATACTGTTTTGGGTTATTTCTACCCCAAAAATGTAGCAGAATACATTTTGGCCTAAATTAATGAAGAAAAAGTATTTATTTGCAACATTTTATAACAAAAACTAAGCAAAAAAATTTTTTTTTTCAAAATGTTTGATATTTTTTTCATTTATATAGCAAAAAAAACAGTGGTGATCAAATACCACCAAAAAAAAAAAGCTGTCTCAAAAAATGATTCAAATTTCATATGGGTACAGTGTTGCATGAGTCTGTCACTCAAAATGTGATGGTGCTGAAAGCTGGCCTGGATTTAAAGGGGGTAAAAGTGTCTGGATTTGAAGTGGTTAAAAGAGAAGAGTGGGAGGGAAAAAAATAAACTCACCTTCCTGCTGCAGCATCAGTGTGGTACTGCATCTGTCCCCTGGCAGCTTTAAGCCCAAAAACTGAGCAATCACATGACCGCTGATCATTCTGTTCTGGTGCACTGGAATGGGAAGAGGGGCAGGAGAGGGTGGCTCAGGCTGTCAGTGTCATGCCGAGAGACTGAGCAAGCTGCTGGTCTGGCATCTGGGTGGATCCCAACATTATTGTCGGGATTCTTCCAGAGTCTATAGCAGCTCTGTGATGTCAGCTGACATCGGGTTTCATCCTGTTGTTAGCTGATTCTTTGTCACAGGAGAGCACAAGCAAGTAAACTTCCTGTGACCCACAAGAGAAGTATGCCCAAAAAAGCTTTGGCCATACTTCTCCTTTAACCTCCCTGGCGGTTTTCCCGAGTGTAGCTCGGGGTAGAATTTCTATACCACAAGCGATAACCCCGAGCTACACTCGGGCTTACCATGCGGCGCTGCTCTGGGGGTCCCTGCAGCACTTACCTTGTCCTTCGTTCCCACGATGTGTCCCCTGCAGTGTCCCCGGCCATCTCCTCCGGCTGATGCCGGCATCCGGCTTCTGTGTTCCGGTCCCCGTGACGTCGGGACGTACGGGCGCCGCCGGCGGCGGGAAATTTAAAAAATGTCATTTTTTTTTTTCAATTTTAAATAGTAAAACATTGCTGTTTCATCCCATTTCACATACATATTGTCCCTAGTGCTTTGCCCTGTGCCCTGCCTGCATTTTGTCTGTTCTTTCTGCCTGGAAACTTAGAAAAGTCCATGGTGTCCAAAAAGCGTCCCTTTACGTCAAAAGCGGTTTTAGACCGGCTAGAGAACAGCGATAGTAAATCAGAACCACTTGCAGAATTGAGTGATAATGATTTGTGGGGAAATTTTCCTAAAAATTACAGCCTACAATAAAAAACTATTTCCATGCGAAAAAATGGTACCGCTTTCAGCACAAAAAATCAGAAGGAATCATACCGCCAGGGAGGTTAACCACTTGCCTACCAGGCACTTATACCCCCTTCTTTACCAGGCCAATTTTCAGCTTTCAGCGCTGTCGCAATTTGATTGACAATTGCGCAGTCATGCAAGATTGTACCCATATGAAATTTTTATCCTTTTTTTCTCACAAATAGAGCTTTCTTTTGGTGGTATTTAATCACTGCTGGGCACTTTACTTTTTGCACTATAAACAAAAAAAGTGCAAAAAAAAAAAAAGTTTTGTTTCTATTATAAAATTTTTCAAACAGGTAATTTTTCTCCTTCACTGATGTGCGTTGAGGCAGCACTGATAGGCAGCACTAATGAGGTGGCATGGATAGGCGGCACTGACTGGCATCACTGCTGGGCACTGACTGGCGGCACTACTAGGCATTAACTGGCGCAACTGCTGGGCACTGACTGGCAGCACTGCTGGGCTGCACTGATGGGCACAGGTGTGTGGCACTGCTGGGTGACACAGGTGGGTGCACTGCTGGGTGACACAGGTGGGTGCACTGCTGGGCACCGATCATCAGGGCACTGATCATCGGTGCCGATCCCTGCTCTGACAACTGCCGGTTCTCGGCAGTACTTTCCTTATGCTCTGACAGCGCGAGGAAAGTGCAGCTGAGAACCAGCAATTGCATTTCCCGGTGATCAGCGTGTCATTGGACACGGCTGATCACATGGTAAAAGGCCGCTGTGATTGGCCTTTTACCACATCACGTGATCAGCTGTGTCCGGTTGGCAAGTAATTAATAACACTTTAGGGGGTGATTCAGTAAAGCTTTTTTTTGGTAATTATGGCTGTATTAGATATTCCAGTGCCAAAGTCATAAAACCTGTGCAACAGTTTTCTAGTTATTTCTGATATATGCAACAAAATCAGATAGTTCTTATGTGTGAAATAAAAGTAAAAAACAGAAATGGCATATGGGATAAGAACAAAAATATAAACTTTATTAACACACACTATACACAGTTCCTGGACACAGACCACAACCTAAAAAATCCCCATTGTGTGATTAAAAATGAATGACAATGTTGTCATACAGTGCATTGAAAAAATATTTATACCCCTTGAAATTTTTCCACATTTTGTCATGTTACACGCAAAAATGTAAATGTATTTTATTGGGATTTTATGTGATATACCAACACAAAGAGGCACATAATTGTGAAGTGGAAGGAAAATGATAAATGGTTTTCAACATTTTTTACAAATAAATATCTGAAAAGTGTGGTGTGCATTTGTATTCAGCCCTCCTGAGTCAATACTTTGTAGAACCACCTTTCGCTGTAATTATAGCTGCAAGTCTCTTTGGGGATATCTCTATCAGCTTTGCACATCTAGAGAGTGAACTTTTTGCCCATTCTTCTTTGCAAAATAGCTTGTTTTGCCAGATTGGATGGAGAGCGTCTATGAATAGCAATTTTAAAGTCTTGCCACAGATTCTCAATTGGATTTAGGTCTGGGCTATTCTAACACTTGAATATACTTTGATCTATTCTAAACCATTCCATTATAGCTCTGGCTGTATGTTTAGGGTAGTTGTCCTGCTGGAAGGTGAACCTCCACCCCAGTCTCAGCTGCCACCACCATGTTTCACAATAGGGATAATGTGTTCAGGGTGATGTGCAGTGTTAGTTTTCTGTCACACGTAGCATTTTGCTTTTAGGCCAAAAATTTCAAGTCTCATCTGACCAGAGCACCTTCTTCCACATATTTGCTATGTCCCTCATATGGCTCCTTGCAAACAGGACTTCTTATGGCTTTCTTCTTGCCACTCTTCCATAAAGACCAGATTTGTGGAGCGCACAACTAATAGTTGTCCTGCCTGATGAAAGTAGCCATTAGAAGAGGGGTACACTGTAGTCATAAAGGGATGAACATGGTCAGCAACAATACTCAAGTGGGCCCTGGCGTTTAAATGATGCTCAATTGGTACTAAGGGGCCCAAAGTGTGCCAAGAAAATATCCCCCACACCATTACACCACCACCATATCTGTCTGATATTTTTCTTGGTCTTCCAGATCTTGCTTTAACTTCCACTGTTCCTGATGACTGCCATTTATTAATTACATTCCGAACAGAGGATATTGACATCTGAAAACGCTTTGCTATCTTCTTATAGCCTTCTCCAGCTTTGTGAGCGTCAACTATTTTCAGTTTTCTAGACAACTGCTTAGAAGAGCCCATGGTGCTGATTGTTGGGGCAAGGTCAGAGGAGTCTGGGCATTTAAAAACCTTTGAGATTGACATCACCTGGTCTTCCCAGACGATGATTGAGAACAATCCATGACACTGGCAGGTCTCAGCTTGGCAAAGGGGGCAGTGCATGCTATAAATTCTGCAGGGTGCCCAAACTTTTGCAGATACCATTTTTTTGTTTTCTGTTATTTTGAAAGTGTAAATGATAGAAATAAAATCTAACTTTTGTTGACATATTATAAGAATGTCTAATCTGTAATTTGATTGCCTTTTGGAGATTTTTCCATCTTGGCTCTCAAGTCCGTTTAAAATGTTTCTTGGTTAAATGGTAAACGGGAGCTCAATTTTAACAAGTCCTGTCATCCCCTAGTCTATGATATCAAGGGGGTGTGGACAACCAACTGACCAATCATGCCAGGAGGTCACCAAATTTATGACCAAGTCCCACCTACAGTTTCATACTAGTACAACTACCAATACGTGCAGGAGATATTCTAGCAACTGGCATATTAATATTCAGAATTATATTTCGAACCCAGGGATACCAAACACAGCATACCTTTGTCTGCTTTTCCCCCTTTCCTATGGGCTAAGTCATGACCTTGATTTGTTCGGTATGATATTCCCTATTCAAATATATACCTAATAATAATGTTCCCTATTCCTGTTGAATTGTATGTGGAATAGACATTTTATGGCATGCTCTGCATTCCTAGAGCTCTCATGGCCTTACAGGTCACGAGTGACTGCTTGACTGAGATATTGTTTTACGATAGGGCAGAAAAAAAGTATTTTCCATGGTTCATAGAAACACAGACATTGTGCCAAGACTAATTAGCTGTTTACAGCCCTTGATGCTGGCGTCTATTTGTGTTTTAATGAAGACAAGTGTCTTTTTGAAGTTCCTTCAAAGTTACAGCTACAAATTCCAGTTTTTAGCAGAAGGGGAGAAAGATTATTGCTCATGAAAAACAAAAATAGTTGTCGCATACAGGTTCCATGTCTCTATTGCACACAATCATTACAAAGGCCTTTTGCAGCCCGAGATGCACAGCCTCATCCATTCCCCAAGATCTGTGTGGCCCCTGAGGTGTACAACCTCATCCATCCCCCTAACCCTTTGTGGCCCCTGAGGTGTATTATTATTATTACACAGGATTTATATAGCTCCAACAGTTTGCTCAGCGCTTTACAATTTAACAGGAGACAATACAGTTCAATACAAGAGGGATGTGAGGGCCCTGCTCCTTGGAGCTTACAATCTAGAAGGGAGGGGCTAGTGGTACAAAAGGTAGTAACTGTGGGGGATGGACTGGTTGGAAAAGTGGAAGATTCCAGTATTAGCTGAGGGCAGGATGGGGCCTGAAGAGATAGTTTTTCAGAGATTGCCTAAAAGTGAGCAGAGTAGGCGATATCTGATAAATTGGGGTAGAGAGTTCCAGAGGATGGGAGAAGCTTTGGAGAAGTCCTGGAGACAAGCATGGGAGGAGGAGACAAGGGAGCTAGAGAGTAGGAGGTCTTGCGAGGACGGTTTGGGTGATATTTAGAGACAAGATCGGTGATGTAATTTGGGGCAGAGTTATAAGCTACACAGCCTCATCCATCCCAGAGGCCCAGTGTGGCCCCGGAGGCATAGCCTCATCCATCCCCCGAAGCCCTGTGTGGCCCCTTGGGTGTACAGCCTCATCCATCCCCCGAAGCCCTGTGTGGCCCATGAGGTGTACAGCCTCTTCCATCCCCGAAGCCCTGTGTGGCCCCTTGGGTGTACAGCCTCATTTATCCCCCAAAGCCCTGTGTGGCCTCTTGGGTGTACAGCCTCATTTATCACCCGAAGCCCTGTGTGGCCCCTTGGGTGTACAGCCTCATTTATCCCCCGAAGCACTGTGTGGCCCCTTGGGTGTACAGCCTCATCCAACGCCCGAAGCTCTGTGTAGCCCCGAGGCGTACTGCCTCTTCCATCCCAGAAACCCTGTGTAGCCCCTTGGGTGTACAGCCTCATTCATCCCTCAGCATCACCAAAGCCCTGAAAGTCCACTAAGGTGTACAGCCTCATCCACTCCCCGAGTCATGTGTGGCCCCTGAGGTGTACAGCCTCCTCCATCCCCCTGCAGCCATTGGCGCCTCCCGTCCTCTGAGCCGAGCTCGGTGCGTAGTTAGCAGCACACACCCCCCTCTTCCCGCTCCCTCGTCTGTAGGCCGGCCTCATTGGAAGGCCCCTGATGCTTCCCGTAGACGACCCCGTACGCAGGCTCCGTGATTGGGAGAAGAAGACGGGAGAAGGAGGCGGCTTGGCCGGGGAAGACGCGCCATTTTAGCAGCCTAGTACGGCGGTGTGAGCGGGTGAGTGAGAGAAGGGGGACTGGCCGAGGCTTCTACAGAGAGGGCTGTGTGTTTAGTCAGGAAGGACCCCAATCACTGCTACTGACAGAGCTGTGTGCTGTGGAGGATGCAGCGTACGCAGTGTGCACGGTACATGTCCCTGCTAGTGTACACCTCTAGTCCTGGATGGTACAGGTAGCATGCTGCTTATTCCTCCATCTTCTGTGTAGTGCAATGACAGAGATACTTCTAAAGGGGGCTGTGGTGGAAATGAAAGGGGAACGCCATGTATATATGATTGGGTGAACAGGCAGGTTTGGTAACACAGCAGACATGCATTGTCTCCTCTGCTTAATGACCTACCTGCCTGTCTGCCCCTGTACAGTGAGCTTTGCATGCACTCAGTGCAGAACGTTGGCTGGCTGCACTCCTGCGCATGCATGGGATTGACGTCATATCGTCCCGGCCAATGAAATAGTCTGACACCCGCAGCCGCTAGAAGATGTGCGTGGCCGGAGATCACATCACTGGAGCCAGGGTGGCAAGTTCTGCATTGCGGTCAATTCACTCCGACATGCGCTAAAGCTCATGGAAAATGTACATTTTTGTCGTATTTTAGCGCACTTGTAAAACGCAAGTCGGCGCATACATAAAAAACAATTGCTTGTTGTGTGTCCTGTTCACATTGCGTTGCATCGTAGTGTGAACAGGACACATAAACGTTTATGCTAGGGATGCGCCGATATTGAGTATTTTCACGAGTACTCGAACACATGAAAATGCTTCAGAAACCGATACTTTGCGGTGCTATTTGCATCCATACAAAATGAGTGGGTGAAAATCGCACTGCCAAGAATGCCATTGAATTTGAACAGGAATACGGTTGTGATTCCTGTCCGAATCACTTGTGGTTTCCCGCACCGCTCCTGTGTGAATCCAGGGCTGAAATCCCTATGACAAGCCTGAGTTCACACAGGAGCGGTGGGGAAACCACATACGATTTGGGTAATAATTGCACCACATTGCTGTTCAAATTGCATCCCATTCTTTTTGCCCATTCATTTTGTACGGACGCAGATCGCACCATACTG